TAAGATAGAGAAAGAGAGACAACTTGGAGAGTGACTTAGGGTGTGAAGAAGAAAATGTCAAAAAGGGAGTCTTAGATAATTGCAAAGGTAATCTAAAATGTACAATTAAATATATAATATTTGTCTATATCCAATACTGAGAAATACTGCTAAACCAGAATACAAATATTCTGACCAAAAATGTAATTTTTTGCCCATTTAAAAACTTAATAGAAAAAAATTTTGACTTGAAAACACTACCTACATGTGAAACAATATCTACAAATGAGAAAAGCCACTGTAACCATGGAAACATGATAGTCTCCTCAGTAGTGAGGTTTTGCAGGCTGCAGAGACTAGTTAGGTCAGTTATTACTATCTATTTAGAATGAGTTAATTTCGGATGTCGTATCTTGTAGAGTAAATTAGTCGTTTTTTTAGAATTAAAATAGGTTACATTTGAAAAACTATTTTCAAAATGTTTATACGATGAGTAGCTCATTCATTTCCTCATGAGTACACACCCTTCTGAAAAAAACAACAGCATAAACATGTGGTCAACAACTGGTCTCCCAGCTTGGCAAAGCTAAAAACAGCTAACAACCCAGCCTGGCTAGGGTTGAATTAATACCAACGAGACCAGAATAAACCATCTTGTCCAGGTTGGGAGACCAGCTAGACCAGATGAAACCAGCTAAGACCAGCAAACCACTTAATACTGGTTTATTTATGTTTTATTAAAACCAAATTATTCTAATCAAATGGAACCGGTTTAGTTTGGAAAAAAAAATATTTTCTGAAAAATATTACTCTTGAACTGTACTCTTCTGGAGCCAAGGTTGCTGAATTTTTTTTTACCTTTGAGTTTTATACAGAGTGAAATGTATTTGTGTTGGCGCCATGCAATTACAGAAGCTGTGTCTGGCAGGTACATTTCTCAGCCGTATAGAGCGGGGCCAGACAGGACCATTTATGGATTAGCATGAGTTTAATTTAGAGTGAACGAACAATCTTGTCTGCATTTAGAGCAAGAGTAAAGTTCACCCAGGCACTTTTCATCTTCAACACGGCATCAGACCTTTAATTACATTTCATTCCTATCAGAGCGTCCTCCCTCTGATCTGATCCAGCCTCACATCTCACATGACAATCAATAAGTAAAGGACCTGAAGTGTTAATAGGGCTCCTGGGTAAACATCTGGAAATTTCTGTTTGTGGACGGAGAGATATGGAGGTTTAAGTTGCTTAGGTTTCTCCCACTTCATGCGTGCGCATACACACACACACAAATACTTTCCCACACACTTTCAACAAGAAGAAACCCCTAGAAAAATCTCCTTTCTCCTCACTTCCTTCAGACTCCAGTTAGCAGTGTTTTGATTTCCCTCGAGACGACGACTATACCCCTGAACCAGCTGTCTGGAGTCACTGAGGTATCTCTCAACAAACAGAAACACAACAAAAAGAATGTACCCACATAGAGAATTAAACATGGTCTTGCAGGAAAGCTTGCTTAGAGATCTCAGAGCCACCCGGGGATCTGTATTGATCACCTTCGGCTGCTAAAAGTCTTTGAGCATCTAGTGTTCCTGGTGTTTTTAAAATGCAATATCACTACACAGGGAACTGAAATATTCATGCTTGAATAAATGAGGTTCGGTCTTGAAAAAAAAAAAAGAAAGAAAAAAAAGCTGAGTTGATTTTAACTAACGCTTACAGCAGGTTTCAAATTCATTTGGCACGCAGCAGAAGGCTGTGTGTGGGAAATGCATTAGGCAACATTGATTAAGGGGACGATGAAAGGGAATCTCATGAAACATTGAGAGTGCATGCTTGAATCTGGAACGTGTGTGCATGATGTGTGTAAAATAGCACTGGGAAACCCTGGCCTCTCTTTTACCACATGCTTTGTTTTATCAGTAGACCTGATTTAGTGTGAAACTCTCTCATGCACTGATTGTCATTGAAATGCTAAAATGAATTAATGAGTAATCACAGTCTTTTTTCCCTATTGTGAATTCTATAAATGAGGTTGAAGGCTGAATAATTATCTATACTGATGAGCCAAAACATTATGCCCGGTCACAGGTGGTTATTGAATAATTAAAAGAATAAACAAAATCTTAAAGTCCCCCTGCAGTCAATAATTTGATCCCTTAAAACTCATCTTTGATCACTAAAATTATTATTTAAAGCTGCAGTCCGTAGTTTTTCCTCTTTGTCGCCATCTCTGTTCGAAATCTGCAATTGCAGTTATTCGCGGAATTGTCAACTTTACGTAAGTTGTACCTCGACACGGCACAGTGCGGATGAACACAATGTTTGAGGAGACTGTGAGGCTGTCAGTCACCACGCCAGTGTGGATACTGGCATTCTTTTTGGAAGTATGACCAACATAAGAATTTTCACCAGAAAATGTCATCTGAACAAGTTAGTAACATCCACTTTTGTTCTGGTTCTGACATTGCAGTAAATCTCGCTGATTAAATCTAACAATCGCTAATCATATCACGTAAAACCGTGCAAATTATACTTTGTTCTCAAATTGTTAATGTTAACAACGTCAGCATTGCGTGACATTTAATGTCCTTCCGATATGTATCCTTGTTTTCGCATGGGTCCGGTTGCAGTCTCTTTTTTTCTGTAGCCACTCCGAAGTCCGAGCGAAGTCTTTTGCATTTTACAGCGGGTGAATCTGTTGTCACTGGTGATTGTCGTTTGAACCTTTCTGGATCCGCCATCAAATTGATAAGTTTAAAGGGATAGTTCACTTTGAAATAAATTTTTGATATGTTTTTAGCTTACCTCAAGGGCATCTAAGATGTAGGTGTCTTTGTTTCCGCAGAAGTTTCAATTTTGATATTTTTAGGTCAAACCGTTCTTGTCTGTCAGTCATATAATGCAGGTCTATGGTCACTTCCTCAAAGAGCATGCACTGAGAAGTCCAAATTATACATGACACGTAAATGTAAGTACACATTGATGGCCTAAGACACGAAACGAGCGGTTTGTGTGAGAAAACGAACAGTATTTATATCGTTTTTACCTCTTGTAACGCACAGACTGAAGCGCCCTCGCCCTCAGATCACTTGGACGTGGCTGTGGGTTACAAGAGGTAAAAACGATATAAATACTGTTCGTTTTCTCACACAAACCGCTCGTTTCGTGTCTTAGGCCATCAATGTGTACTTACATTTACGAGTCATCTTTGAGGAAGTGACCATAGACCTGCATCATATGACTGACAGACAAGAACGGTTTGACCTAAAAATATCAAACTTGAAACTACTGTGGAAACAAAGACACCTAACATCTTGGATGCCCTTGAGGCAGGGGCGTAGAATTTAGTAGGGACGCTAGGGACGTGTCCCTACCAATATCCAGTGACACTGATATATCCCTAGCAATAATCGATCAAAACTTAAAATATATTTATATATTGATGTCCCCGTCCCCACCAATTACAAAATCAAACCTACGCCACTGCCTTGAGGTAAGCTAAAACATATCAAAAATGTATTTCAAAGTGAACTATCCCTTTAATTATATCCAGTGCTGTGAGAAAAGGCTATAAATCTCCACCTCCAACATCCTCACACGCAATATAGCCTACTAGCCGAGACTCCTTCTTTATTGTGTACAGATGTGACGTAATGATGCAAAGACATGCTCGAATCTCCCGCAGAAATCCACCAGTACCACTGGAATTAAAAACATTATTACAAGCTTACCGCTTTGAATCGAGCTAAGGCAAGCAGATCGTTTTTAACACTTGTTGGTTATGTATTTTCTCAAAGATTTATTATGGATAATCTTAACCCAAAAAAGCTATGGACTGCAGCTTTAATAAAAATAATTACATATTTAAATAAAATTCTTCATGTCTTAAAACAGCTTGAATGTAACTCTACACCCTTGCCTCATTTAGTATACGTGGTTCTATGAATATGCAAATTAACCCCACCTCCACTCACTCACGCCAGCTCAGAGATCCACTCGTTGACGTGATTGGTTACAAGGAAGTTTGTGACGCCAGAAACACCAACGATTTCAAACCGCGTTTTTGAGACTGTCTTTGGTTCACTGCAGTTTTGAGGAGAAAATACTCAGCAATGGTGTTGACTGTTGATTTTTGAATTTACACATGATTTGTCTTAAAGCATATTAAAAACATCACATAGAGATATAAACAATATTAAAAACTTGATTTTCACCACAGGTGATGATGGTAAAGGAAATCTAAATGTAAAAATGAATTTAAAAAATAAATATCAAACATTAACCATATCATATATCATACAATAACAGACATGGTACTGTTACAGTACAGTATATTGTGCATCCCTAATGAGACTTACTAATATTGTAGCTATGAAAACAACTGTCTTCAAAACACACCCAGGTACAAACAACTAGAAGTGAAAAATGAACTGTAGTTAATCTGAGCTCAGCTGAAGCAGAACTAATGTGATCAGATCAACCTCCGGTGTCCGGCAGAGTCAGGGTGCTTCAAAACCCATAACGTGGCACTGCGGCAAACTGCGCTGGACATGTGTACCCCGCCAACTTTGGCAAGTGGGAACTTGTTGGGCACTCAATGTCCCCATCTGCTACCTCTTCCCATCAACCTCAGATTAACCCTGAGAGCCAAGTCAAGCAGCTTTGCCCCACAAATGCCACCCGAACCTGCCAATGACCATCTACTAGGACACAAAGAGCCAAGATCCCGTTCTGCTTTAGCAGAGCGGCTAACAGCTCCTAATCGGGCTGAAGAGAAACACAGCCTCTCACTAATCCAAATGTTACCTCACAAGATGCGAAACTGCAGCTCACAGAATAGATTTTAAATTCTAGAATTTGACCCTCCAGCATCTGACCATCACAAAGAGCTACAACTTTTCAAATCACATTTGCATCTCTCACGAGAAACACCTTAGATGTTCATGTTGATATAATTTGTTTCATATAATACAATTATAACAAGCAGGATGTAATATAACATGAAGTGATGTGTTTGGTACCTTGAGTTTGGTCAGGTGCTTGATGACAGGAGATTTGTCCACTTTCGGAGCGAGGTATAGTTCCCATTTGCCAAACTCTTTCTGCGCGAAAGGGTGAGACTGTTTTTCCCAGGAGTCTGAAGGAAAACATATTTAATTATTAATTATTATTGACAACGACCTATTTTTAGTATTTTGGCATTATGCTTTTGAAATAAGGCATTTTGATGCTTTACTGGAGCTGTCTTTCCAACAGGAAAAGCTATGGAGCTAACTGGAATAGGATTTTCGACTGGGAATTCAGAATCCAATATGGCTACTCAGTCTATAAACCGCAGTGAAAAAGTAGTAAAATAATCGTTTATTAGCAAGTCTGTCTCAACCTCAGTGACATGACAATTTGAAATTATCTGTGCAAAATACCACTTTTATATGATGTGTTTGTATTCCAAAAGAGCAAGCACAACAAAGGTTTGCCTGGATGTGTCAATCTTAGTTTTCTGATCTGTGTGAAGAGGTAAATGGAACACACTATTAGGCATATTTTCCTGTCTATGTAAACAGTATAACTTGCAAAACTACTACCCACATTGCACCTGGGTCAATATTATGGCAAACTTCAGATGTGTTTCCACAGGGCTCTTGTTAAGTGCCTTCTTTTGTAGAATCCTTTCATTCAGGTGTTATGAAGAGCTCTTGATATGGTTGACTAGTGCACCTTTACTCTGTTCTTGAAATCCATAGCTCCTCAAAGTGATTGTTGAACTTTTTGTGATTGGTCTTACATGTTTTTTAACATTAACAAGTTTCTTTCTTGATACAAACTTGTCCAGGAAGTATCTTGACAAGTAACTTGAACTTGACTCTTAGATATAGTGCACTTTTCTTAATTTTTGCATTTTCAGGAAGTCGTAAAATATGAGTAATATAGCTGGCATAATGTACTGTAATGAAATACTAGCTTGGAATTGCTAAATAGGCAAACCTTGACCTCTTGAGGAACACCACTCCAAACACAGGAACCCATTTCAAATGGAATATATCACATGATTGAAATGTCACATGATACAGCCAAGATATAGACTTACAAAATAAAAGTCAAATGAAAGTTCAGACAGTGCCTGCACCTGTACAAAGGAAATATTAAATATTACAATTGTTAACAGACATGTGAATGTTGTCATGTAATATGTACACGTTTCTGAGTTTATTGATAAATTTGGAACCGCATACTAGCAAGGAAACTACTCTTACTACTTTGTAGTGTATGCTAGTATGTGATTCTGCATCTGTGTTTGGTCCATGTCCATCTAAGTAAGGCCACGAGTTACCAAAATGTTTTCTGGCTTTTCTTCTTTTTTTTCTCTTCAAATTTAGCAAGTCCAAACTAAATACTTGTGTTAATAGCATATTATACAAATATAATATGCTATTAACATGGTGATGGCGCAGTGGATAAGACACATGCCTTTGGTGTGAGAGACCCCACTGTGATTAAGGTTCGAATCCACTGTGAGACACCAATGTGTCCCTGAGCAAGACACTTAACCCCTAGTTGCTCCAGAGGTGTGCGACCTCTGACATATATAGCATTTGTAAGTCGCTTTGGATAAAAGCGTCAGCTAAAATGAATAAATGTAAATAAATGTAAATAACTTAAGAATAGATTTTCAGTGTTTACACTGATTATTACATTTCAATGCAGGATTATAGATTCAGTGAAAACTGGCTAAGATTCTGGAGGCACAGTATATTACATGCCCCTTAAAAGCAACTCCATTCATCCATGGCTTCAACAGCTGAATAAAATGTGGAGGCAGAGACTAGAGAAAATGCAGAGCGCTGTACAGCAGCTGACTTTACCAACTCCCTCAGACTGTTCATTCAGTTTCTGGGAAAAAAGCCATGCAAGACTGTGTGACCCCTCTCAAAGCACAGAAAAGAGACACTGATTTGTTGTGGATAATTTCTGTCGTTCTGCCCTGTACGCCTCTGTGTATCTCTTTTCACATTACATACTCTAATGGAGAGCAGAAAGAGAATATAAATAAATAAATCAATAAAGGACCAGCGCCAGTGCAATATGCCTACCCACCTGCAGCCCCCCGACGCAGATCAAGACCGGCTCCCCCAGACCCAAATTTCTCTCTCTTTTCTCTTTCAAACCCCGCATTCCCACTGTGAAATTGAAACCATATAATATGAGCCATGTCAAAACGCAATCTCACGCCAAATTGGAAGTTGGGATTTCCTATGACACCGCCTCTGGGTCTCAGAGAGAGATAATTACAAAAAGGCAGAAGGATAAATAGAAAAGAGAAGGATGTGATAAAGGTGGGGGATGGTCAGGGACGAAAGGGGCCGCTGGTCATACGGTTATAAGTAGTGTCACAGAGAGAGGGGAGACAACATTTTGCTGCGATCTAGAATTGTAGTAAACAACTTCTTTCCCCAGAGGGAACGATGTGCCCTTTTCACCCGACTGTATGGATTCGCTAACTCCGAGAAAGGTGTGTAAGTATCCATAACACTCACACACACTCCATGTACTCACTGATGGAGTACATCTGAACTATGCGTTTGTATTTTTAAAGCAGTTCTCTTAGTTTACATTTATATTTACTGGAAAAAAGTACCATGATATGTGTTTTTTGCACATTGTTCTATTATAAATTATCATGTATTAATTCATAATCATAATACTATCCCATGGTTTTATTTGAAGTTCCTTGAAGTACCATGGTAAGGCAATTGTTCAATGTCATGATAAATACAATCACAATTTTGAGATCTAAAGCCACAACTGTAAAATAGTTGAAATTTTAAATAGAATTACAATTACATGAAACAAAGCTGGATTTGTACAAAATAAAGTGGATTTATCAGAAGAATTAGATAAATTCAGTTATGAGAAATAACATCTGATTTGTGAGATATAAAGTCAATTAAGTTACACTTTATTTTTTTAGACAGTCCACTTTAGACATTCTAACTATAAGTAAATTTGCAACCACGTGTCAACTAACTATCATTAATTTGCAAGTGTTTGTCAAGTGTTAGCAGATATTAAGCAGACAGTTTACTAATGAGAGTCAGTTGACATGTAGTTGCAAAGTTACTTATATCGAAATAAAGTGTTACCCAGAATTATCTTTTTTATTTGTTAGGTTTCAGTGATGGAATCCAGCATTCATGCACAGCTCACTGCAAATAAATATAATCATAACCAAAAGTAGTTGAAACATAACCACAAGGTCAATTCTCAATTCTCATTAACCATCTACACAGTCCTTTCTAAATAAAAAAGGAAAAATATCTCAATCACAAAGTCCTTGTCTGACCAAAGGACTGCCAAACTATCGATCAGGTGCTGGTACGAGTCAATAACTAATGAGGAAGCTGCTGAGATACAAAGACAACACTATGAAAAGAACCATGAACTGGCTAATCATTCACTCCTTATCATCAATTATCATTTTAAAAGGTGCTTCAGGCTTTGAGATCAATATTCTCTTCAAGGCATGTAAGCAGTGTATTAAGAGAAGGCTTTGAGGGAGGATCTGCGTCAATATGCATCATGTCTTCCAGCTATAATCGATAATTGCTGAAACGCCATAAGTGGAGCTCCAGGAATAAGCTTCATGTTTGTGAGCACATGCACATGAAGTATAGATATGTATAGGAATGAGAAGCAAAATCAAGTAGAGAACCAAGAGTTGGGAGTTTTTAAAGGTCATACTCAAAGGACCCGGTTTCCCCGTAACCGCCCGCGGATCAGAACACAACTCTCAATTAGAAGAAGTCTGAAGCTGGCCAGAGGCAATAAGACATCTGCTGCATTTTTCTAGTTGCACTCTCATTCCCTGAGGACTTCCGATTAAGCACAGAGACGAGCAGTTTTGGGAGAGAGGAGTAAAAAGAGCCCATTGGGACGTGGCCCACTGGTGTTTGGACTATTGAGAGTCAGATCAAACACTGAGTAGGGTAGTTAGCAATTACTGAGCAGATAGACACTATTTTAACTATTTTGTGTTGTAAATTCTTTACCTAATTTGGTGTTCCCAGTCAAAAATGATTGGCCCTTTAAACTGCTTGAAAATCTATCATTATGCTATATTATCACCAAATATTGGATTCAATCATTTTGTCAACTTGATTTATTTTAATTAACACAGGTTTTGCATTTCTTTTTGGAAGGGATTGATCATTGGCCTCATTGATCTGAGCTTATGCACTTCATTGCTTCAGTGAAAAGAGGTTACTCAAATAAGGTGCATAAACTCAAATCATTGTTGATGAAAAGATTGAATCCAATATTTGGACTTAAAGCATAACAAGAGACTTACAAGCATTTTTTGTAGGTCGGTTATATTTGATCGGGAACACCACAAGTGTCAGGTGAAAACATTTACTATTTTTTTGGGGTATCCTCTCCGGGTCAAAATGATACCACAACACAACTATCACTAAATTTACACACTTCCCTGCTAGATTAACTGATTGACATAACAAAAACAGTAAAAAAAAAATTATAGGCTTAGCTTATAATGTATTAAAGTAGCGGTTCATCCAAAAATGAAGACTGTGCTGGTCTCTCTTTTCCATGAAATTACAATGAATGGGGTTAAAGGACCCAAAAGCACCATAAACGTATTATAAAAAAAATTCAAGTCTTCTGACACAAGACAGCTTTGAGTTGACCTTGAGAACCGAATCAGTCTGATTCTGAAACAGACTGAAATTTAAGTCATTATTCATTCCAAGATTTTTTTTCTTTTTTGGGGGGGGGGGGGGATGAATCATTCAGACTGGTTGTGTGAATCACATGTGACAAGCAGACCAAGATGCAAGTGATTATTCAGCTAGTCAGTGAGCTGAACTTTAAAAATAGTTTGTGAATTCGGACCAGTTTTGTGAACCAAGTATAACAAACAGAACAAATTTTAAGTCATTATTCTAATCTATCAGTGAGTTGAACTTGAGTTGAATAAGTCCAATTAGTGAAAGAGTCCTTCAGACTGGTTTTGTGATTTAGATGTGGCAAACAGCCATTATTAAATTAAATGATTATTTAATTAAAGTCATTATTCACTCTGTTAGTTAAACTTGTGAGGTGTACAAGTCATTTAGACTCGTT